GCTTGGTGGGTGAATTGATAAGAGATTTGGAGGGAACCAATTTCCTTTTGACGACAGCATTGTATTTATTTTTGGTTAAGATTTTGTTGGCATTTTGATTATCATCCTTGGTCGAACTTGCAGACGTGTTCCCCAGTGGAGGGAAATTTCCGTCATAAGTGTTGTCATCGAGACATTCGAAATAATTTTCGGAAAAATTCTCTTTGACCTCTTTATACGAAAGATTTTTAATCGCCATTATCCTGTTGATGTTTAATTCAATTCCCCTATTAGGGCAGCACTTATTGAGAGCGTTGTGCTCACCTGAGCCACAGGACAAGCACTTCATCGCCTCACAATTTACACACTTCGGAGACTTTCCACAGTTAAGGCACCTGCTCTCTTTGACTTTGCAGAATTTAGATACGTGACCGTATCTGCTACACTTAAAGCACTGCTTTAAAGTGGGTACAAAGTATTCGACCGGCAGATTACACTAGTTAAATTTTATTGGCTTAGGGAGGGCTCTCCCTTTGAAGCCAACTTTGATGCTGGTTGTGGGAATCCACTCATCTTTGTTATTGGGCTTTCTTCTTTGGAAACGGACAGCGGACTTAATCGGAATATCGGATACGGCGTTTTTAATTATATCATCGACACTATATGTGCATGGGATGTTTCGAATAACTCCAAATCTCTCAGTGAACGACCTCAGTATGTACGCTTTTAAATTCTTTTTATTAAATTCATTATTCATAACAAAATTGTTGGCATTGGCAGCGGAGCTGAAAAGAAGTTTGGCTCTACCCCTGCTGACACCTTTTAATTTTTTTAAGCCGTACATACCGAAATCCTTCAAGTAATCATAGAAATAGAGATTGGAGTTAATATTGATGCGATTTTCTTCTGCGTCCGCGCACGTTTCGACAAAAACGACAAAATTGCAGTTTGAAAGGCAATCGTACAAATTAATCTCGAGATTTGGGGCGGCTGTGGCACCCAAATCAGAGGGCTCGTCGGTAGCCTGTTTACTAAGCGGAATTAAAACGTTTGCGTTAGCCTCTCCGTTATCAGATAAAAGAATATTGTTCTCACCCATTTTCAATCTCTTGGTGTGTCCAGTGGCGTTCATGTAAAAATTTTCAAAACAGTCTCTATTTGTAGTTATAGGATCAGACCCAGTCTCCATAGGGAGACGGGCTGATGTTGTTTTGGTTGTTATCACAGGGAACACAAAAAGAAAAAATCACAAAGAAAAAACAAAAAATAATAATTGAATATATGTATTGCTTCTTAATTTTTCTCGCACGAGAGATTCCTCCTCCTTCCCTCCTTTTCCTTCTTTAAAATTGTTTTCTTTGGTTATTTTATTACTTTATTAAACCTCTTTTCCTTTTTTCAAATATTTAAAATCTTTTTTTTTTTTTTTTTCACCAACACCGTTAACACAAAAATTATCCAGCTGCCGTTTGCGGAGATGACGTGTTGTGTCGAGTGTGAATGAAATGCGAATGCTCACGAATTATTTACATCACTTCTTCCTTATCTTATATGTTTTTACTTTTTTTTGTTACTTTCAATTGCTTTTCCAAGGGAGCATCGTGGTGCTTAGTACATTCAATGCATATATACTACGTATATATGTTTATTAATAGCGTTTATTAGTTTTATTATTGACAGTCTTTTAGATTTAACGCAATTTTTTGCATACGTATATATTTATGTAACTTAATTTTATAACTTAATTAATTGAACATTTTTCGCATTTGTACTGATTTCATTTATTCGTAATAATCAAGAATAGAAGAATTATTATCGACTGTTGATCGCATTGCTGCCTTTTTCGATCTCCTTTTATTTTTTTTAAAACCAGCGCAAAACTCGCCCAAAACTATCCTCATGCTATGCAGACGGACTTCGGACTTTGTTCGCTTTTCGTAATTCTCTCTCTCTCCTACATAACGCTATTGTCCGAGCTGAGAATTATGAAAAGAAACTTTAATTAACGCAGCTCCGTTATTATGGATACGCTACTCTTTTCGAATAGAGCATGTACAAAGCCGACAGACGGAACCCCTTCTATCCTATGTACGCGGACGTTACGAATTTTAAAATCCTTTTTCTTCTTGCTTTTATTTGTAGAGAAGCTATTGTAAGTGCTATTGTGTAAGGCTACCAAAATAAGCAAATATTTATATGTACCTGTAGAAATAAGCTTGGAAAAACGAAGGTAGAGATGATAACTTCAAATTTTGCGCCTTTTGAGTTAGTTTAGCTACTTAAGTAAATTGCATATTTGCTAGATAAAAATATGATGCACTCAAATGAATTTTTAGATTTTTATTCATTATTTTAGGTTTAATAATATGAAACATGAGCACTCAACTCCTGAAATAAGCCTTTCAATAAGGTAATCCAAAGTTCACCTGGGTTCATCGTTATTTATATAAATGATGTTATTGAGGTAGAGAAAGTAAGTTTATTTATAAGCTGCTAACAAACCTCATTGGCCAACTTTTTTAACAATACAACTTCATTTTCACCGTGCTGAAAAGATTGGTAATTGGTATTAGTTTACCAAAATTGAAATGATTTTTCTTTAATTAACCCATAAACGTAGAATATTATGTTTACATCTGTAAATAAAATAATGCCAAAGGGCAACAACATGCATGCAACAACAAAACTAACCATATTAAGATATGATCAATTGTGTGTTCTTTGAAAAACTTGATATCAACTCTCCGGTATGGACGGCTACCGCAGAGTACATGTATCGACAAAATGCGTCTCAATAAAACTTATCAACAGGAAAGGAAATACGGGCGAAAAATGCTCCAGCTTTTTATATAAATCATTTATATTTTCTGCATGAATGTTGACTGAAATGAAATCAAAGCTCTACGAGTGGAATTATGATTGATTGAAATCTATTCACAGATAAAACTGCTGTAAGCATTCTAATGAAAGAATTTGAGGATGCAGTTTTCAACCAACTTCAGCGTATAACCCAACTTCAAGAGAAAGTTGGAGAAAGATTTCAAAAGCGATAAGCATAAAGTTAAAAGAGAAGAATTCATAAAATTCATTCAATAAAATCAAAAAAATCAACGCAAAGAATCAATACACAATAAAAACTCATCTCTGGGTATGTTGGTCCTACCGCTAACAAGCCTAATCCGTTCATCTAACTAAACCAAAAAAAATGAAAGATTCGGAAACAAATGAAATTTCTTTATCGCTTCGAATGACTCCACCGATAGAAGTGTTAAGGCTTGCGTTTAGAAGAAATTTATAAATTATGAGCGTTCACAAATCCCATAGGAACAAACTCAAGTTTGTATTTTCTAAGTGCCAAGATTTAAATTGAAGTATCATTAATAAAAGCAAACAAGAAAGATAATCATATTAGTTAGTATATAAAATATTTACGTCATTTAAGAAGTTCCTTTGTTAATTAAAATAAATCAAATCTAAAAATTAAAGAACGACTCATCTGATATTAATATATTACTCATATTTTAAAAATATATGTATATATATATATTTATATTACGCTAAAATCAGGAGCTTTTTCATATCACTAAACAATATTATTATTTATATTACTAAACAATATTATTTAAAAAAAAAGGAACAAAAGGAGATAGAAAACTGTTTATGTTTTAAAGAAATAAACTATTATTATTATTATAAATTTGGCCAGAGAATAAATTCTACGACTAAAGTCTTAAACGACTAGTATCTAAGCCTTTCGGCTTTATTAAAAACTCTACCGCACTTGAGATTTGAACCCACGACCATTGAGTTGCTAGTCGAGATTCTTGCCTACTCGGCCACTCAGGCGAATAAAAAAAAAAAAAACTAAAAATAGATCGAATTAAATCGAGTGGATTCATTCATATTCACCACTTGCTTGTTTTTATTCATTTTTTGCATAAACATTTTTCAATACACAAAACAATAAACTGGAGGGTAACCTTGTAAGCAGGCGATGATTACCTTGACAATTGATTACCGCCAAGAGATTAATCAGATACCATCGTCGCCAACTTTTCAATACTCCGCATTAAATTTACCATTATATTGCATCAATAACTATGATAAATGTAAAAAAAGAGCGGCAAATTGGTGTTTGTTTGCTTGGTATAAACAATCTATATATGGTAACAACGACAAGCATGCAAAATGAAATGAATAGAAAATTATGTAGACTTTGACAATTGAAATGAGTAATTCAATGTTTCAATGTTTATATTTTTAGGCTGTTTTTTATATATTCTTTTTACAGATTTTCCACCAAAATTCATAGTAACAATTCCTTTATAATAAATTGTTAGTGGTTAATTCATATAAATGATGCCTTCTTCTTCATTATATTAAATTTTCTCTTCCAAATCCCTTTTTCTTTTATGCTCTATTATGAACAAATAAAAAGAAAATCCAGTGAATAAAAAGTTTTACTTTCAGTATTTATTTAATGTTTACGTACATATTTGTGGGATTTACAAATTATTTATACTTTTAAGATTGTTATGTTTATAAATTTCGTGCCAGCAATTCTCTAACTTGTTCACGCAACTTAATTGTACACAAACGTCAACGCCATCATCTTCATAGGTCGCTTGGAGAATTCAAATGATATTTTCCCACTTTTTAGTGGACACAAATGTTATGCAGCACCGCACAAACGTTCGCGATTCTTCCCAGCCTCTTTGAGCTATAACAGTCCTTTCGCTCTTTATATAGAATATACCAGAGATCTAGAGAAATGTTCAAAAATTGTGTTTAGATTTTAGAAAAACTAAATATTGTAATACAAGCTTTAATATACACCAATGTATCTTCCTGCCTTGTAATAGATATGGTTTTTTTTTTTTTTTAAGGATCGGCCGAACTTCGGTAAGGTGTCATCAGCTGTACATCTAGAGAGTATCCACTATTATCTAAAAAAAAGAAAGAAAAACTTAATTTCTTAACGCAACCAAACAATGTTATCATGCCCAGTCCAATAGTTTTCTAGATAAACTCTTTCACCGGCATACCTCTACACATGTGAATCATGGTAAGATTCGGGAAATTTGAAACTGACTGCGCAAATCTAGAAGAAAATGTCCATATTTATGTAAATAAATAGAAGACGCTAATACGCAAATATTCAAATTACTTACTACCATTCCGTTTAGGCTTTCCTTTTCGATTTATGAAAATTACTTCATTTTCCGCTGGCTTTAAAAGCATATATACGTTCCGTCAACACATCCAATTACTGTAATAAATAATAAAAATATTGTAATGGTTATAACTGTAAAACAAAAACTTCAATTATTTACTGATCCTGCTAAAAGCAGACGTTCGTATCCGCGTTTACGGTCCATCGGATTCCCTACACAAAAAATTTTGTTTCCAATTCCTGTCATACCTCTGATGCAAGAGTGTATAGCTTTGGGCATCACTTACGATACAGTCGCTGCAAGCCAGCCATTGATAACCTTGTGAAGCCAACAACTCTAAAGCCATGGCTAAGCGCAGCATCGCCGTTATATATGCACGCCTATACAAATTTTTCCCATGACAGAATGAAAACCCGCTTTGAAAACTCGGAACTTCGGTCTAATTCTACATACAACGATATCACATACATATATATGTCGTTTGCAAATATTAGAAACAATGTTCTGATTCGTTTTGAGATGCTAGATCAGAAGCATACTGCAAAACTTTTCACGTCCGTCTCATGTCGACCCTTTCTTGTGCGCCGCAGTTGTTATTGCTTTCCTCTTCAATGAACGAGCATAAAAGGAATTTATGATACATTCGTCAACATTGCTTAATTTAGCTCCACATTTAAATAAAAAAACTGTTCTCTTTCTAAATTTTTTTTTTTCTTCACAATTCACGAATGTAATTTCGGACACACTTCATTTTTTTTTTTTTAATTTTTTAAAATTTTTATATTAATAATTCATTTTCTAACAGCTGTTTATATTAAATGCAACTCTAAAACAGAGATTTGCGATGAGTTTACCTGATTTATATTCAATACTAATTCAAATTTGTACCCAGCGACAGAAATTTGACTGTCGTCGGATTTAACTGAGAGAGTGCATCGCGCGATAATCGCCAGCAAATTTGCTAACATGATTAGATTCTCTTGGCGATCATCGCCTATTTACATGATTACCCTGTAGATGAAATCGTTTAAATCGAAAACTAATTGGAATCGAAACTAAAATAAGTACATATCAATCTCCGCAAGAGTCAAAATAAAAAGTATTGGGAAAAACTTCCAGAATGGAACGTCTACGTAAATAAAAAGTTGCATTATATGAAATAGACAATTTATAAAAACGTCTAATTCAAAGTGCTTAAGATTTCGTTCGGGATGTTATAAAAATCATTTTAGAAGAATTAGAACAGTAATTATCTATGAAACTGACGTATCAGCAATTTTCCTCCTCCACTATTAGTTTCAAATTAACAGACTCACCTTGTCGTCTTCTACTCTCCGAGTTCTTTTATTTATTTATTACCCATATCGCTGGCAATGTTAAAAAAAAATAGTGAAATAAAAAACTTAATCACTTGTAACTTTGTATGGGCATGGTCGATTTTTTCACTTTTGCACATAAATAGTAAAGATTTTCATAAAGCAGATGTGAAAAATTTCAGTCTTGTATCTTTTATAATTTATGAGTAAAGAGTAATATCCCAACGATTTTTATTTAGAAAAACGGAGATTCGTTCAGTTGACGCTTGACAACGGGCTTGTGCTCTGACCAATTTGGCTAAATTTCGATACCAATGTCTGGGGAAAACTTTCTACGTTTGTAGTCGATAACTTCATTTTTGTGACCAGTAAAGTGTCAACAACACAGACCAAACGGGCACACAGCAGACGTACATGGCTTAATCAATTCGGGATTTCATTCTAATCAAGAATATATATATATATTATAGACTCTGTCGCTTTCTTTCTTTCAAACTTCCTTTTGTTTGTTGCAAATATTGGGACAAATCCTTCAGTGGTGGGTATAAAAAATTTCAACCAATAACGGAATTTTTGTGGAGTTCTTTGTGTTTAACATATAAACCAGATTTTTCCGGTTGTGTGACCTGCTATTACTTGAATTCTAATCAAAATAGACGTATTATTTCCTTAGAGAGCAAATTCGTAAAATGACTTCCATCACAATTCTAAGACAAGTCATCTGGGAATTTTTAATGTATGAAATAAAAGAATAATGGAGAAGTATGAAAGTTGATTTCTTTTTTAAGAATTTGGAAATTTTGCATGTTGCTAAGCTATTAAAATTTGTATTCCGTCAAGCAAATGACTTAAGCATTAAAATTGCAAATGCATATAACCATACAAATTCATAACTTGACATCACAACAGTTTAACATTCGATTTCCAGATAACGCATAGCCCATTTATAAGAATATAAGTCGTAATATCTGGGATATTGCCTATTGAGGTTTTTAGAATAGTACAGATTTTATGTAATAGTAGTTCACTATATGTAAAAAATGAGTCGAATAATAGAATTAAAGAGAAAATGTTAATATGTATGATCTAAATTTGAATGAAAGAAAATAATGTTAATTTGAAAACTATATTTTCATCGGAATAGCTAAAATTTTTAATATGTTCCTCAATTTTTCTCAATGTTCTTCAACGAGAAAATCGGTCGATATCTTAGCGCATGTTTTTTATGATATCCATAACATAAAAAAACATCTCTGATCAGTGTGTATTGCCTTACACATTGTATGTCCCACGTGCTTCTACATAAATTCACTTCGAAGCATTTCTCGGTGAAACATGGCGGCGAACGAACAATTAATTGCTGCGCTAGTGCATGATTATTTAAAAAGAAAAGATAAAACATTGGCGGAAGTTTTCCAACATAAAATGAAAACGGTAAGTGCATAAGGCAGATTGTAACTTTAATTTTCTCACTTACTTTCTTACCGAGCACTTATTATTTGTTAGAATTGTTGAGATTGTACAATTTATTTTTTTTAAAGAAGAAGAATTTTAGTGAAGAAACGCTCGTTTAGAGATTTACAGACATGATACAACATAATTAATAGATCTACACAAGAAGTAATAATTTGCGTATGACAAAATCAATATAACAGCATAAAGTGAAGATAAAGAATAGCGAAAATAATATTGAAGGGTAAATAGTGTCAATATTATTAAGCTTTTCAATTTAACATCGATATGAACACATAATTCGAAAGGTGACGAAAACTACATGTTATAAATTCTTTTCAGGGTGTCGTTAGTAAAGGCTCACCTAAATTAGAGGATATCTTTAAATATTACCAACAGAATAGCGGAACTAAAATACCACCGATTAAACAAACTGATCAAAATTCCAGCGAAAGTGACGATGATTCTCGCGACGAAATCGCAAAGAGCCCCATTTTCCATCCATTTACTAACGGTACAGCGGAAGCTTTATCTAAAACGACAAAATCCAGTTCAGAAGATTCATCAGAGGACAGCGATGATACTGAGATAGAAAAGAAACCACCAGCCAAGTCTACAGGAAAAGGCGTTGCACCGTCTGGAAAGCCGAAATGTACAGAGAGTTTCAAAAAGGACGAAAAATCAGGAACTAAACCTGGAAAACACACAATTCTTCAAACAAAGAAAATGGACTCCTCCGGCGATAGCAGTGACGAGGAACCAATGAGCGCTAAAAATAATTTAATGAAAAAAGATAGCTCTTCGGATGACTCTGACGATAACACCGAGCACAAGAAATCTGAAGGCAAAAAAGTTCATAAAAAAGTTGCAATTATTTCAACAAAAGGAGCAGGTGGCACTAGCAAAAATGACGAACTGCCGACTAAACCAAATGCATTCGTATCCAAGAAAACTGCAGCTCCACAAGTAAAGAAGAATAAATCCTCGAGTGATTCCGATAGTAGTAGTGGAGAGGACAAAGCAACTAATAAAAACTCTGCTAAGACTGCTGTTTCTAAAACAGTTGCTATAAAGAAAAGTAGCTCGTCTAGCGATGACAGTTCAGATGAAGATGAGAATTTTAATGGAACTGTTCGCAAAGGAGCTGCTTCAAATAAATCATTTCCTAAAAATGAGGAAGACAAAAAAATTACGAACAAAAGTTCTACTAAACTGGCTACTACTAAGAAAGTTGTTACAGAAGAAACCAGCTCATCTAGCGATGACAGTTCATATGAAAATGAAAACTTTAAAGGGCCTCTTAGCAAAGTGGTCGCTTCAACTAAATTGATTCCTAGAAAAGAGGAAGAGAAATCAACTACTAAGAAAAATTCTGCTAAAATGGCTACTCCTAAAATAGCTGTTACAAAGCAAGGTACCTCATCTAGCGATGACAGCTCAGATGACATTAAAAACTATAAAAAAGTGCCTATTGGCAAAGTAGCCCCTTCAACTTTATCAACGCCCAAAAAACCTAACACATCTTCAAGCGACGAAAGTTCAGATAAAGAAACGAAACAAGAAAAACCCAAAGCAGTTTCTGTGAAATTAACACCTGCACAACCTACAGTTGAACCGTCAAGCACTGATTCTGATAGTTCGGAAGATAAATGTAAGGATGTTATAAAATCGACGGTTGCCAAGAAAGAGTCTAGCAGTGCTGACAGCTCAAGTGATGAAAAACCTGGACAATTTTTGAAATCGACGGTAAATAAAACCCCCATTATCAAAAAGAAAAAACCTGAGAGCAGCTCCGATGACAGTTCGTCGGACGATGAAACCGCAGCGCCTAAAAAAGCTCCTGTGCCCGTGAATACGGTGGCAAACAAACAATTTCAATTTAGTTCTGACGAGTCCTCTTCAGATGAAGAGTCCACAAAAAAAGCTCTGTCAGCTAAGCTGGCTACTCCAGTTATAAAGAAGTCAACTACGGCCAATGCGGAGGATTCATCAAGCGATTCAGATGATACAACTGCAGCTCCCTCAGCTAAAAAGCGGCAGGTCGTTCCATCGGTAAAACCCCAATCATCTAGTGACAGTGATTCATCAGATAATGAGAAGGAAAAACAAATTGTTGCTTCTAAGCCATCTGCTAATCGTAAGACCACCAGCGAAGATAGCGCTCGTATCGAAGAACATTCACGTTCTGGCCAATGCACGCCATTATCAAAACCGGGACGCAAGCGGAAGCTGGAGCAAGCAAACTGTAATTCTGAGAATAAATACAGTAATTTTGTAAGGAGTAGTGAAAACAAGGTATATTCTTTTTTCTTTCTTTGCCGTTGTATGCTTCAAAAACGTTCTTAACATCCCTACTATTTGTTATCGCAATTGTAATTCTCAACATTATGCGCTGGACATGCCGTACTCAGCTTGTTGTTGTGAGATTTCGAAAGTTTGTTTTATTAGGAGTCCTTGAATGGAAAAAATGGACTAACACTGAAAAGGCTCTTGGTTGATCTCCGTATAAACACATTCATAGTGTATCCGTAGCCATTATAAAAGTGGATATAAACTACCCATTCTACGACATTTCGTATATTAGCTTGCGGTTTTCTTAATGCGAGATTCGGGCTGCTTAGGCCTTTCGCTTGTATAACATATTGCAGAGCATACGAAAATAAGTTGCATGGAGGTCTGTTCAGTGTACTACAATCCAATATAGAAGAGTTTTATGCCCTTTCCGTTAATTACATAGCATATTGATTGGATTCAGTTAGAAATTTTGGAATAACGACCATTTGCTTCATTTTAGTTTATATACTTCCTTTTTTCATTTTCGAAAAAAAAAACATTCAATAGAAAAATGCTTTTTCTTCGACTCCGGCCAGTCGTAAGAATAAAGACAAAAAGGATACCCCAAACTCAAGTGGTAAAAGGAAAGAACCGTTCCGAAGGGTCCGTGAAGAAGATGTTGAAATTGATGAACGAGTTAAAGATATGTCTTTTGAAGCAAAGGTAAGTGCCTCAATAGATAGAAGAGCTGCTGTAAATAAAACACAAAAGTTCTAAGAAAACTGAGAAAAACTAAAAGAACATAAGCAGAAGAAGGAGGCTGCAAATTAGCTAATGGAGTAAAAACTTAATTCGGTGTAAATATTTTGATTTATTTGAGGCACTTTTCTTGCGGCAGTGTTTAAAGTATTTATTACATTTATGCTTCCTTTGAATTTGTCTATAAAATAGAGCTAATTTGTAACATTTCCTTCTTCTTTTGCATGTCAATAATAGGAATCTGAAGAATTTGGTGTTAATAAAACTGGTGGCTTCAAGAAATTTGGAGATCGCAAATCCTTTGGTGGCTTTGAAAGTAATAATAGAGGTAGACGTGGTGGAAGTGGCGGTAGAGGAGGCCGAGGTGGTTTTGCTAATAATCGTGATGATGCCCGTGGAGGTGGCAATAATGATCGCAACGTTCGCGGCGGCCGAGGTCGTGGAGGAGGCGGAGGTGATCGTGGTCGTGGAGGTAGCGGGTCTTATCGTGGACGTGGAGGCGGCGGAAACGCAGGCGCCAATAAATTCCTAAACAAATCTTTTGGGGCGCCAGCATCCCAAAATAAAAAAATTACTTTTGACGACTAGATTTGATTTTACATACATTTTTTTCTCAGCTTCTCTTAGATGTGTTTTTTTTATAAAAGCTTCTTCTATTTCACTTTTGTAATTCTTGGCTCTTTATATGATTTATTTTATTTGAAATGTATAGAAAAATGCTGCAGGTTCTTGGGGTCAAAAGGCCAATAGAGACTTAAAACATACACGCGGCAAACACTTCAAACATGAAAAAACTAAAAAGAAGCGCGGCAGTTATCGTGGCGGACAAATTGACATGTGCGTCAATTCCATAAAATTTGATGACTAATAACGTCAATTTTCTTAACAGTAACAGTAATTTTCTTCTAATTTTCATACAATTGAAAGCTTTTGAAAACGAGCACAGTTTTACCTACGTTGGCTCTTTAGTAAGATCTATATATACTTTTATTGAAATCGACTATGCGTCTTGCATATGCATTGAAAGTTTATAAAATACCCACATCTCGTAAATACATCTCCTCCATATTACAGAATGTATGTGTAAATGTATGCTTAAAGATTTATATGCATGTTAATGACGTGGAAAGGTATTCAAACAAATACATGCATGTGACTTTTTAAACAAATTAAAATTGTTTTACTTTTTGTTTAATTTTGAAGAAAATTTTTTTTTGAAACGCTTTCAAGTTTTTAAAAAGTCTTTCGGGAAGTTCCTTAAAAAGACAGCCAAAATTTTGCGAAATTTCATGTGTTGTTCAGGTTGGCTGGTGATTCTTGTGCTTTATTACGTGTGCGCCGGCTAGTGATTTGAAGGGTATCGTGTGGCATGAAATATCCCTTACGAGAGGGCCTTCACTTTAGATCTATATCTTCATGTTTCTAATAAAACGTTGCGATATTCAGCACAACTCCTGAGCAATTAATCATATTCCTAAAAATGTACAAAAGAAAATCGCCACCAATGTGAAACGACATGATTTTAGCGAACATCCCCTGTATAGCTACCACATATGACGTGAGTATTCAAAATTTTTACAGCTAAGTTAAATTTACTTGGCGATTTTAAGACAAATGGAATTTCTCCCAGAGCTTGGCGTAGATACCCACCTAAATGGCTTTTATATGAAACACTTTTATTTACCCTGTTTTTTTAAATGAAAACCAATCGGCCCGCGGAATTGTGTACACCATCGACTGCTATTTACCCGTGCATTCATTAAATTTTATTATATAAAATCAGTTACATTTTATATTTAGATAACGATATTACGCTCATTAATTTATACATACATACATAATGTAATTAAAAATTATATACAAATGCAAATTTTACACCTAATCATGTTGAACATGGCTGCAAATTTAAATATTTAAAAACAATAGAAACAAAAAAGGGGAGAAGAAGTGTGATTAGGCGCAACTTTTTAAATACCAGCTCGCCAAGTATAACTATACATTTCGCGATGATACACTAATCCTTGTGCGTTATTTTCATGAGAAGGCGTACTTTTCACGACAACCCTTTTACGGATTAGAGTCTAATATATTAATGTAAATGGTCCAAAATATACAAAAAATTAAACTTATTTGTATCAAGAATTACGGCGCAATAATTTGACAGTAACATCCGACATGAGGCGCAATAAAACATTTTTCTACAAAATCCATTAAACGGCCCGGAGTGGAAATTAATATGTGGCATAGACCCTTGACCATATTTTCACTTTGATATTTGGACGAAGTACCCCCGTAAACGATACGTATATTTAAATACGAACCTAAGGCAAATTTACGTGGCTCATTGAATATCTGGATAGCTAATTCGCGTGTAGGCGACACAACCAAAGCGTGTGGCGTACTAATCGATGCTTCAGCATTATCATTCAGCAACAGATTGATATAAGAAAGGCCGCGGTTTTGCCGGATCCAGTCTGCGCAGATAGCCATCAGATCCCACCCACTTCCTACTACTGGTATAGCAGTCTTTTGAATGGGTGTATATTCGTACTCAATAATTTCCGTATACAAATTCCATATAATTGAGAAAACAAAAATTGTTTACAATTGAGAATGTTTGAGTAAATTTCTTTACATGTATTGTGCCGCTTTAGAGAATAAGCGTATACAATTATCAAGAATTTTGCATGTATTGTACGCTTGGCCTTTGGGGGAAATCAGCAAGAAATTCATTTAGCGAAGGTTTCGATCAAAAAAATATTTTTCAACCTGATCTTAGTTGCTGCTGGTGTCGATAAAATCGAATCGAACGATTGAAGAAATCAGACATAAATTCACCATTGTGCAGTCAACTATTTCAACATTTCTATAGCGTTTCGGCTACGAATTTCGATACACGTAGCCAATATTGTTAGTTACTACAGAAGCGGGGGCTATACGATTGAATTTTTCGCTTCATTTTTTCGTGGTCAAGCAGAGATTGTAAACTTATGAACTGCATTTAGAAGGGTCGTCCAAACGAGCTGAGATTATATTTTGCATATGATACTAGAAAGTCGTCGTAAAACCTTGCCAGCTCGTATTCGCTCATACTTGTAAATGCTTGATTGGACATTATAATAAGCGCATTTAAGGAACTTGATATTATAGATAAAATAAAAGGTGCATAGGCATTTTGTTTCTAGAAGCTGGATTTAATATTTTTTTTTCAAGCACCTTGGTCACGCGGTCGCAACGTTAATCAAAGACGTGCGAAAAAGGTGAACATTTTTTAAAGAACGCTTGTTATCCTAGGGTTGTTTTGCAGAGCAGAACTGGCACACATGTACATACTCTAACGCATTATACGGAGCTCCTAGGTACGTCCAAGAGCATTATGATTTTTTATATCATAAAACTAGTTAAATGGCTTTCGCTAATTGGTTAGTGAATGTAATTACATATATAATGTAGGCAAGTAAGAAAGTTATAGCTGGCTTGAGCCGAATCGTAGGTACTCGCTGTTTAAATAAGCACATGAATTCATGATGTACGGCTCGATTTGTGAGTTGTTTATGTATATTGAAGTATTGCTGCTGTTTTTTTTTTTTTTTTTATTTACGTATTTTAGACTAGTATGTTTTTAGTTTCCCAACGGCTATTGTGTTGCAAATCCAACGGCATATCAGAACGAGAAATGGACACATGCACACACGCAGGCACAGTGCACATTTCAGTAAAATTCTGGCCTTATCGTTTAATTTAAAAGTAATTTTCGCCCTCAATTTTTTTTGTAAAGTTTTCTTAGGCCGTAATAAATTTTTTACTTCTTCTATCACATTTAAATAGCTCTCATAAATAAAGCAAAAAATTTTATTTGACGATGCCAGAGCATGGTTAAGAGAATAATCAAAAAAAAAAAAAAATCTCATGAAATTAGCATTTGCTTTTTTCTGGTGGACCCCTAAAGATGGTTCTCTAAAAAAAGGTCGATACGATTTAGGGCTTGCAGCCCTATCTGTGTACTTATTCTCATTTTTTTCATGGCCTTTACGGAGAAGTGAGGATTTTTCACCCAAGCTCGGATAGATTTAGTTTTACCGTCTTTCAACAATGAAATTTTGTTATTGAGTATTTCATGTCTTTGTAGAATCACCACTTAACGATGACGTACGTTGCAGTTAAAGATGCTAAGTTTGCAAAAATTGAGGTAAAAATCTGAAACTTCGAATATGCAAGTTTAATTTTATTTGCAATAAGTAAAATTTGAAAATCGGTTAAGGTGTGAGAAAACAATTCCTTAAATGAAATGGGACTAAAATGCTTTGTCAATGGCGAAAGTGTTTTCTAAGTTCCATGCAAAAATAGGATTGACTGATTTCTGGCTTCAATTCGTAACGGAGTTTTCGCGAATTTCCGAAAACTAGCCAAGTCCTTCTTGAGTATGAACAATGTATTCAAATGTTCTTCTTTTTCACCTTGTCCGCACATTCCTTGCTAACAAGGTCAATGCTGTTAATTTTAAAGTTCCGCAAACGGTATTTACATATCGGAATCAAATCAGCATAATTTACAGAGAATTCATTTTCTTCGAATTCAGCGAGAAAAGTTATGTACAGGCGTAATATTCGACTTTTTATTTTTATTTCCGCGTCTTTTGGTCAGGGTCTTTTTAGGTTAAAGGCAAGCCAAGATTCGAACTTTTCCGTCAGGTCTTGAATTGTTTGCGTATCCGTGTGATTGTAAAGAGTTGTTGAAAGTTTAAAAATTTCGAGTAATTTACAAGCGCTGTCGAGCCTTTCCTCAGTCGTAGCGTAGTCAGATTAATATTAAGATAAACAAACAACAACAACAACAGCTATTGTAACATAATTGCAAAAGAAAGTAATGTCGTTTTCTTATGAAAACTTGCATATGTGTATGTGTTTTTTTTTTTTAGTAGAGATTCAAATTGTTTTTCATTAGTGGACCAATGTCAACACATGAAGCGTGAAAGAAATTTTTCGCGACATTTTAGGAAAGTATTGGTCGTTATTCGTTAGTTATGTGAAGATTGTTAAAGTTTTTAAAAGCTTAATGCTTAAACCATAACTTCAATTGCGGTCAGCATTTTCAGCGGGGACTGCGATAATGGGAGTTAACGTCGACTTTGGCAGATCAATTCTGTTCCTTAGAAATATTCACAAAAGTTTGAGTTTAGGCGTAATAAACCAACTTGATGTTCACTACGAATTTATCCCTTTTTATCTTGACACAGTAGAAAGTAGGTGCAAGTTTTATCTGACTGTATTCATTCTCCTCATTCAGATAACAAAAAAATTATCTGAATTTGAAATATTTTTATAGCAATTCAAACAGTGTAATATTAAAAAACGGTAAGCAACTGTATCCTTCGCATAGAATTTCGGCATAAAGTGAAAGAGAGCAGACCTTAGGGACTTTATTTTTAAACGTGCATAGATGTGATACGACTAAAAAGAGAAATTGAAAATTGAAGAAAAAAGTAATAAGAAATAAAATAATAACAATAATAATGCCAACAATAATCCAACTTAACGAGACCTTTTTTTTGAACGGCAAGTAAGAGATGAAGAGTATGAAGAAGAAGAAGAAGAAACATCTAAACAAGCTACAATCAAGAGACACAACATAAAACGGTATAAACGCGAAGAGATTGTGTTTTCAAGCGAAGATTTATATATGTATGTATGAATGGGTATACATAAGTACTTACATATGCGTATACACTTAGACGAACCTATACATAAACCAACGTATGTGAGTAAAATGCTTGAGGAATGGTAAGCAAATACGTGGTCAGCCAGTCCAAGGCGAGTTGTCGACTCAAACAGTTTGTTGGCATATATAACGGATTAATGTAAATTAAAGTTGAAACGAAAATAAAAATCAAGTAAATGCTATTAAAGAAATACGTGATTTTTACTTCAATGAATATCTTTTAAAAAGAAGGGTAGAAAAGATAGAAATTGTTTCAACTAATTTAAATTTTAAAGAAAAATATTTGTGCAAAATTGTTAACAAAAAAAAAAAAAAGGACTTTTATTTGAAAGTTAAATAGAAAAATCAATTAACCTTTTCGGATAACCGACGGGGAGCATATTTCAAGAAATTCTTGTTCATACAAACTTACTAATATATGTCTTTAAAAAAGCACGCAATGGAATACCGGTGCTCCAGCAAAACTTTAACCCAAGTAAGTGACCCCATTAAAGAAATAACTGAACGACAACAACAATCTATTAATGAACTACTAAACGCGAAATGTATTAAATTAACATCGCAATGAAAGCAGACTAAATGTTGGACGCAGTCGCGATCGCAATCGCGGTTGCCGTTGTGTGGACATTTTTCTACGACTCATTTAGTTTAGACAAAATAAGAAGAAAAGAAGAGAATGTCTATATATTTAGAAGGATTCGTTTCGTTTGAAGCCCATTCATTTCCATGTAATCATAAAAGTAAGGTTTCTTCATTATAATTGATTTTGAAACTATATATTTGTAGAAAAAAAAAAACAATTTCATTATAAAAAGAAAATCACTGTTTAAATTATTTGATTATTATTAATGGACGTGTGTGTGCATCTTGGAGAAACTTAAAATGTTTGCGCTTGCTCTTATTGTGACTGAATACTACTTTCGAAAATCAATCCATGTGCAGTAATTATCATGCTTTCCAAAGTAGTTATAAATAATATTGATATAAATATTTACCATTTTAAATGGTATATTTAACTTGCATCCTAGTCCCTAGGATGTTGGGCTACGATCTATTTGCTTGGGTGTGTTACAAATTGAATACTTAAATTAATATATTCCCCATGTGCGGATGTGAAAAAGTATCTTTGTTGTAGCAATTTGCGCTTAAAGCAATACAGCATCCAGGCAGTAAATACTCTATGAGAGCTCGACAATTCATTGTCTGCGTGCGTGCGTGCGTGCGTGTGTGTGTGTTTGTATGCATGACTACTGTGCTGTGTAAGATTGTAAAAAAAATTTGTTTTGTGTTCACATGCATTACGATCATCGACACCATCGCAAGCACATCACACATTCAACCATTATTAACGTGGCTAAGATATGTAGAATTTTATGTTTATACTTGTATTGAAAAATGGTTTTTGTATGTGTTTTTCTTTTCTTTTCATTTTTTTTTCATAAAAGGAGAAAGAAACAAAAACTACAAAACCAGTAACAGGAATTGTGGCAAGTTCAGGTTCAAAAGTATTTATGGTCTTTGCAAGGTAGACCGTGGTGTACATGGAGTATTGTTTAATATATATATATATATATATATATATAGATATATATATATATTATATATATATATAATTTTTCAAATCTCAGGGACGTTCTCCTGATTTAATTTAATGTACATTTTATTTAATAAACAAAACTTAAAGAAAAAAATTTTAGCATATATATGGTCCTTGCCATGGGCTTGTCAAGGCTTTGACCCGTACAACTTATTTGGAATTGATTAGGAGAAGGTTAAAACGAAAAATTATTGCAATTATAACACTTTGGTTTGCCCTAAATGCACAATTTAAGCAAGCCAACATGAAATTATGAAAACGAACCATTCGTTATTTGGACTTTTCCCATTATTTATAAAATATTCTGCTTCATGCTGTCTTCAAAACCAAAAATCTGAATATGTACTCTGAACACCTTTCTTAGAATCAAAAGGTGTGTAGTTGGTTCCTTAAAAGAATGGTCCGTTAATTTCATGTTTTATTTTCAATAAAATTTCTGAACGAATCTTGAACACAAATGCTTTAAGTAAACAGTATATTGATGGAGCTTTAGAGCTTCAAATTCCGTCTACTGTGCCGGTATACTATACGACTGGCGCAACAATGGTAATAATAACTTATTCTAAAATGTAACATCATAATGCGATCACCGGATTATGCGACAACATTTCATCCGCAATAATCGCTCACAGTATATAAAACGATGCTCTCTTCCTTTCTAAAATCGAATGCAAATATTTTCCCAAAAACTTATGTCAAATAAAACGGCCCTAATCGAAAAAAACGATGTATCCATAATTAATGAAATTTCATTTCATATACATATAAATATATATAGCTTTAACTATATGTGACTATATAATCAAGGTTCACAGCAAGAGGAATATAACTTTTTTTAATTGTTTTTGTTTTTCGAAAAGATTTTTAATAAAATACATTTATGGCTGTAACGATAATTATGTTGGGAAACGATCGTTTCTTTATTCAAAGAAAAATTCTATTAAGTTTGCTAGCCAGGCAACAAACTGCGCGTGTGTAGGCGCTTTCAGTTTTTCTTTTCTTTTCTTAAGAGAATGCTTAAAATTGCTTAAAAAAAATTTTTCAATATTTATGAGGTATTGGTTAAAAATTGTTATGTTATAGCAAAGTTATTGAGGCCAAAAATCGCTTTCGAAGAAAGACAACTTAATTCGAAGAAATACGACAGAAAACGACGTTGTATGGGATTAGTTAATATAAATATTTTCTAAAAAGCAATAGATAATGGGAAAATTTAAGGGAAAGTTCTATTTGCTACTTTTTTTTTTCAAGCTTGATATATGTAAGTAGTGTTGAGTTAAAACAAAAAGCGCAAAAACCATTGGACGTGGAAATAAAGTCTCATCATCGAATTTGAATGATTTTAACAGAAATAATTTCTTAGCTAATAATTGCTCATGTTCTTCTGCACTCGAAGGCAGACGCGGACTTAATACCTGGTTTAAAATCTATGATAAGCTGGGCGTGATATCGCCAGCTGCGATAAAATTGAAAATATCACGTGACGACGAACGCTACTAAGAAGCTAATATACTGTATCGTATTCGATATTGGTGTAAACGAGAAAAAGTGATTAGAAAAGTGATAGATGAAATTTCTTAAACTAATAAATAAATTTGATATGAAAATATATAGTGTTTCGTTATATTTTGGTTAAACGTATTTTAATTTTTTTTGTTCTCAATTGATAATTGTATGAAAATTTTATTGAAAAATTCAATTCAATTGTGTTGTTGCCATAAGTTTTTCATTATTTGTTAGAAGAGAGAAACTTAACATACTGCAAAATTAAAGTCGTGACAGCCTATAGTTAAAATTTGGAATTTGTGGTTTATTTTAAGAGAAAATATTATGCATACGAACAAAGCACAACAAGTACATGTTATGAGCGATGTATCGTTATGTAGACTGACGGATAGATGAGTATGCAAAACACGTTTATGTTTCTGTTTTCTTTTCTCTTCACATGAAATATTTTCCAAACAACAGTTACATGGATCAATAATGTTGTAAAATTATTAAGCGTTCTTTGTTCTTTGATAATGATTACTTAGTAAAAAAAAAGTAACAAAGAAAGACAAGAAAAAACAAATTTTATTATTGCTATTGTTGTTGTTAGTCTATTGATCCAGAAAAATGTTTTTTTTTTCGAACAAAATCATTTTTGTACAAACAGTTAGTTAACAGTCATTTGCATCTTTTTTTCCAATTTTGCACCAACAGCAAGGACTACCCTCCACCATTTGTAGCAGAGATTATATTAAATTTGTACGGACGTATGGACCACGCAGAAGGGCTTAAGACAGACCCACAATTTATTGTACCGAGCGTTTCAGAATCATTTTCTAAATCGGTGTAAACCAGTCTGCCCGTCTGACGTCTATCCATGTAAAGTTATGTTCCAGTTACAGGACACAATTTGTGAGATATTTTGATAAAAATTGTTACACTGACGTGTTTTGACCCAAGGACGAACGCTATTGAAAATGGTTTGTAGAGCAGAAAAGTATAAGTTTTACTATGTGGTAATCGAAATTGACCCATAACATTATAGTAATTTCATACGAAAATGAACTTTACAAAATTTAGAGGATCTATGCCTATTTTTTGATTCTGCCCTATGTGAGGATTAAACTTATATTACATTGGGAGTATTACGTGATGCGTTTTGGGCCTCGTTTCCCATAAGTACGCACGTGAAAATATGCCTTCATATATAAACAAGATTTATTTTTTGTGTTCTCTAATAAAAATAATGCGTACTATAAGAACATAAGAGAAGGATTTTCACGAATATGGACCCGTTGTAGGGCAGAAAAAATTGACTAAAACTGACTCGTAATAGTAATTTCGCATAAAAATAAGAATTGTATTATGTGGGATAGGATATTTAGTGGTCGGTCTTGTCCGGCAAATAGCGGGAGATTCAAATCTTGCGTAAATTTTGGGACGCCCATATTAGGCGAAGTGTCTGCAAGTACGTTATATTTGGTGCTTTATCATATGTTCTTCTTCGGTTGGATTATTTTATGAAAGATTTTTTTGCAATGCTGGTGTCTATGTTATATCGCAACTACGAAATAGATTGTCTTCGCTTACATTGACTACTGCGGTCGCAATTTTTTCATTACAAATAAATTGAGAATAGAAAAATAGAAATGTGGATTTCAACTGCCAGGCATAGATGTCTCATAGATGTAAGAAAATAAAACTACATTTTATGGTGGCAGCCATAATTTTTCGATTTATCGATCGTTAATCGCGAAAATTGGAATAGAGAGGGAGGAATCGACAGACGTGTAGAGCAACTGCTAATAAAAGGAAATAAGTATGGAGAACCAATTCAGGTTACTTTTGTCTCGTTAACCCAAACTACACGTTTATATGGCCACGTTTGTTTATCCAAACTGATTTCAATCTTACTGTCACGAAAATCAAGCTGAGAAACTTTAACTTTTACACAAATGGTTACAAAATTTTTAAAAATTCCTGACCCGCCTAAAAACATTCCAATCAATCGGTCAACTAAGATGCGTGCAATTAAAGACGATTTCAAGCTTTAGGTCTTTTCGCCTTATTACACATTTCCGCGAGTAGCACAGGGGAATAACATTCAGTAGATAAGATCATAAACCTAAGAAAATTGATTTTTTATAATTTCTCTTATTCATATAAATAATTGAAAAAAGACTGAAATTTTCCTTAGATATTTTTTTTTATTGTTTCCAATAAGTGTTTTTTTTTTATTCTTGTTTTCTTTTTTGATAAAAGTGAAAACAACCGAAATCCAGTTTTGTATTTTGGGAGAGGTTTTTGGTTTCCACAGCATTTTGTTTATTCTGCCTGCTACCTATGTACAGTTTTTTTGGAGCACTACTCACATGTTTTTCATTTTACGA